AATCCACAATAAGAACTATTAGCTGCAATGTGAAATTGCAGTCATATTGGTAAATGTTTTGTGTTTTGTAACTTGTGAGAGAATAGACTTTGAAAGGCAAATAAAATCTCAGTATCATTTTTTAATATATGTAAATTTTAGGGGTGGGGCTGGGGCTCAACAGTAGAGCGCTTGCCTAGCACGTGCAAGGCCCTGGATTTGATCCTCAGCATCACATAAAAATTAATTAATTAATTAATTAAAGGTATCGTGTCCAACTACATCTAAAAAATTTTAAAATATTTATTTTTAGTTATAATTGGACACGATACCTTTATTTTATTTTTACATGGTGCTAAGGATCAAACCCATAGCCTCATGCATGCTAGGAAAGTGCTCTACTTCTGAGCCACAACCCCAGCCCATGTTAGCATCATCTTGAAAATAGTTTTGATTTTGCAGATCCCCTGAAATGACCTTGATACTCCCCAGGTCCCCAGAACACAATTTGAGAATCACTGGCTTTAGTTGCATGCGATGTTGAGCCAGTCACTGACAAAAAGAACAAGAGAAAGTTCTCACCCTTTTGAAGGGGAATCCATTTGGCTATTTGATTTGAGAATGTTTTCCCAACTCAGGGTGATCAGATGCCGATCAACCACTTGGTACTCGGGAGTCTGTTGTTAACCTCTTCTCTGCCTTGTGTACCACTGTGAGGCTAGGACTTGGAGACAAGAGAAAAAGGACTCACCCACAGGGTAGTGAGCCAAGTGGTAAAGAACACGGAATCTGCTGGGACAACAGGGGCCTGTCACAGAGTCACACACCAGTGCCACCAAGGCCTGGTCACTGAACATGGCCTTGCTTGTGCTCTTGGATTCCTGTAGCCGCAGTGAAGGAAAAGCCAATGCCAGCAGGCTAGTCCTCCAGACGCAGAGGCAGTTAGCTTCACTTGATAGGCGTTCCCATGGGAGTGAGGCCTGGGAAAGGTGGCGAAGATGGAGGGTCTTTCCAGTCACCACCAATGGACATTCTTGATTCCGAAAGGACCAAAAGTAGTTGAACCACTGTAGAGGAAGCGCTCAGATAACCATCTTTGATGTGAAGTGGAAGCAGTAATGTTTCCACTTCATTTTATTTGAAAAAGTAAATTTATTTGAGAAAAGATGAATGGTTCTATCAAATGGGGATTATTTTGCACGTGATGAGAACAGGCATCAGGAAAGAGGCTATGTTCCTCTCCAGAGGGAAAGGGAGAGAGAGAGAGAGAGAGAGAGAGAGAGAGGGCCTCCATCTGCCAGTGATGTTTTCCTGTGCTGATAAGGACCTGGAAAAAATCTACAAATCCTGCTTTTCATTCTTTGAATCTACCAGAAGTTCTCCAGTTTTACAGGGTTAAATGGATAGAGGAAATGAAGAGAACACATGTGAGAGAGGGCTGAGAACTTAAGAGGCGGATTCTTTGTGCAGACCCACAGGTGCACAGGGAGCTTACACTCTGGAGTGGTCCAGGAAGACAGGGAGACGACACAGGTGAACAAGCACACGGGGGGACATGTAACGATGAAACGAGAAAGTGTAGTGGAGAAAGTGTGCCAGAGATTGACAGTGAAGGGAGGCTGAGAACCTTCTCAGAAAAGCCTAGGTCGGGCACAGCTGAGAGCAGCCAGGGTCTACCCTCTGCATAAGGCACAGCTGTACTCTGATGGTCAAGTAGTTTTGTGCTTGTGGTGATAACACCTTCCCTATGTTTAAATGAAGTTCTTTCTGAGACTCTCTTTCTGAGTTTGGCTCAGCTGAGGTTAGGAAAGAAACATCGAAACACAACAGCAGCAATGGTTACTGAGTACCTACCAGGTATCAGGGTCTTTGACCCTCCCTCACCTTTTCATTATAGGTAGAAAGAGAAGCAGGGCATCTGACAGGGGTGGTCCTTGGTAGAAGCAAGGGAAGATGGACAACACCACAGACTTAATGGCTTCCACGTATACACACGTAGGAGCTTACAGCTCTGTAACCCAAATGTGCGAGAGGGGTAAAATCTACGTGTCAGCCCAGCTGCCTTCCTTCCTGAGGCTCTAGGGATGAATAGTTGCCCTTCCTAACTTGTAGAAGCCATTCACCAAGGAATGCATGAAGAAGACTCTCAGTCCCTTTCTCTACCTTTAGGACCAGCAACATTGCAACCCCTGTGCCTTTCTAAATCACCCTATAACTTCCTACTGTTCTGCCTTCCTCCACCACTTTTCAGGACCCTTATTATTACACCAGGCCCAGTCAGATAATCCAGAATAATCTCCTTGTTTTAAGGTCAGCCAATTAGCAAACTTAATTTCATTTACAACTTTATTTCCCTTTTGTCATGTAACCTACCACATGCACAGTTCTGAAGATTAGGATAAGGACATGTTGGGATGGCCATTATTCTGCCTACCAAGACACATTGAAAATTAAAGTGAGAAGAGTCAAAAGCACTTTTCCCTCCTGGAGTTGTCTGTGCCCACTTGGAGAGTCTAATCTTTTATTTCATGTAACTAAATTGATAACAAGAGCTAAATATGTAGTAGCTACACTGCATAATAATTTGTACACTTATGTGATCTTGGAGAGATAAGGCACTTACCCTGAGTTTCCTCATCTATAGCAGGACAGGGTTGAGGTTGATGGTATCTCAAGCATCCCCCGGTGGCTGAGCACGATGGTGCATGCCTATAATCCCAGGGGCTTGGGAGTCTGAGGCAGGAGGATCGTGAGTTCAAAGCTAGCCTCAGGAATTTAACAAGGTCCTTAGCAACTTAGTGAGGCCCTGTCTCTAAATAAAATATAAAAAGGGGCTAGAGATGAGGCTCAGTGGTTAAGTGCCCCTGCATTTAATTCCCCAGTACCAAAAAAAAAAAAAAATCCCCCAGTGTTCCTAGCCTGATTTTTGAAGTAGCCACTTCTTTGTAGATTATATTACAAGCAATGTCTCCTTGCTACCAGGCATGTCTGCTGAGCTCCCCAAAGCCAAAACATCCTATTAAGTCATTATCATATTCAATGCTTGATGCCAGAAAAACGGGGGGATCTTTTTGCCTGGGTGTCAATAGATGTGCCTATGGATGTACAAAACATGATAATAAACCTGATCTCAAAAACAATTGGCTCTCATCTTCTGCCGAACTGATGGCATGTGCATATCTTGTCACAGAACGTCCATGCTGCTTGTCACAAAATTCCTTGTGGTGGTTGTGGTGTGCTTTGGAAGTGCACATACCCCATAATATTAAAATACCTTACACTTACACAGCGCTTTGCAGTTTACAGTTGTTTTCATATCTGTTACTTTATGCAACCCTCTACATAAGTGTTGTTGTTAACATGAGATTCTTTAAAATGGGTGTATTAGTAGGGCTAAGAGGGTAACCAGGTCTATCATAATTCTGCAGAAGCATCTTGTATGCCTCCTTGATCAGTGGTAACATAGCTACCAAGTAATTTGACAGAAAACTGACATCAAGCACTTGAATGAAACACAGACTTATTCCCTATGGGCTGCCTATGCAGCTACAAAGTGATCAAACATCTTTTATATTTTAAATTGGACATCATCTTAATGAGACATCTTATACTGCCTTTTATCTTTAATTCTAAAAGGAAATGCATTCCTGGTGTTCTCTCAGGCCCTAATCATACTCCATTGCTTAGGCATTTTTCCTTACTTTCTTATAGTCTTGATATATGTTATTCACAATATATCTCTCTAACATTTATATGAATACAGATAGATTTATACACATGCAGAATACTGCAGTCACATATAAAGACAACCTTGAAATCGGACTTGTCTGTATTAGTTTTCACTTATGGAATGGTTCTCTAAATTATTTGAAAGTCTAATAATTTTTTTCTAAAATAATTCCAAAAGTCCATTGGTCCTTCTGCCTCTTTAATTCTTAAATCCATATATATAAAGCAAAGAGAGACTTCTAGATGAATTGTAAGCTCATTTACTTTCCAGACGTTGTCTAGCATTTAAACACAGACATCAAAGCAAAGAGCCAATTATCAGAGTTCATTTGGTCTGAAGCCCTGTTGCCTGAATTGCTATAGTTTTCCTTATGCTGAAGAGAAAAATTAGTGTCACATCTTGAAGCTGTAGCCTATAAAACCACTTCATCTACAGCAGTTGAACTTGAAACATGTGTTTGGGCTCACTAACCACAAGGAGGCATTGAAGCATCTCTTCAAAATGTGAAAAGCAGTTTTATTTTTTAAAAAAGTCACACCTTATATTGCTGGTTTTATATAATAATGACAGTGCCTGTGAGCATGCATGTCTTTTAAGTTCCTGTCAGGATCCTTTCCCCTTGCCTTCCCAAGACCTGAAACATCAGCAGAGAGTGATGCTGTTTTCGTGGAAGATTTTTGGACAGTAGTAATCTGTAGAAGTCTTCCTTCTACTGTTTCCAACAGAAAGGAAGGTAAACTTCAAGACTTTCCTTAGTACTGACAAAGTCATTGTCTTCAATTTTATTGCACTTTGAGAGTTCAAAGTTCTTTTTACTGAGAGCAGAAGCCTATTTCTTTGATATGAGAATTCTTAAAATACAGTAAGGGGTTTATCTGAAATCTGTGTGTCAGTTTAGAATGATTCTGGAATACATCTTCAAAATGCCACACAGAACTCACAAATTAAAAAGTTGAAACCATTTCTATAACCTGAGCATAATGTTCTTACATGTAGTTTTGAACAGTCATGGTGAAGGTCAGAAATTTTCTCCGAGTTTTTGTAATCCTGATTCTCAGGAGCTTTGTTGGTATTGAAAATAGGAACCTCTCTGTTGCAGAAGGTGCTGCTTAGCACATCTCCCAGAATAATGCTTAATCCCCAGAGAAATAAGAGTTGTCTTATTTCTGTGATATGCTGCAGAGAAGACGTTTTCCTCAAAATGTGGACCGTGACATTTTAAAATTCTCTTGTGCCATTTTGCTCTATCATCTTGCTCTTTCTGGGTTTTGACACCTCGTTTGCCTTGTAGGGTATTCCCAGCAGGCTCGAGAAGGTGTCACCGACCTCAACATACAGCAGAACAGGCAACTGGGGCGGCTGTGTGACATCATAGGTACAGTAAATAGTTTTAAACATATGACTCTTTGCAATGTTTGTCAGTGAATATTGATACAATGTTTCTTCTTATTGTTATATATTTTTTCTTCTACAAGGAAAAAGCTTAGGTTTTTAAGCCACTTGTAGGACAATTGAATGTTTCATTTTAAGTAACATCCACAAGGATGTCAACTTGAATAAAAATAAGCATTTTAATCAATTACTTGGGCAGTTTTCTAAATATTTTTTCCTGTAGGTTTAGATGAGAATTTCTCTCCTATATACAAAAATCTTCTTGGTTTACTGAATCCTTGCAAGTGTATGAGACCAAAATTGTATATTTGTGACAATATTGTCTAAGATATTAGCTGAGGAATCACTGGAAGTTGGTATCAGAAATGAAGCATTGTGTTGTCATCATAAAAATAACAGAGAAATGAAAATAGATTTTTAAAGAGGCTTTTCTGTAAATATAGAGCATTTAATTATTTTTTAAAATGAAATGCCCAGTGAAGGGAATTCTTAGAAACACAGACCTTGATTAAGTGATGGCTACATCTTTGTAAAGTCAAGTCCTGATATTGGTTTGGTCAGTTCTCAATCAGTCACCTACTTGGGTCCAGGAGAGAAGAATCTGATGACTTTGATTGTCACTGGTCAAGGTCAGAGTTCAAGGTAAGCTTAAAAATAGATAGATTGCAAAGCCTAAGCAATAACATCAAGTTGGTTAAGGAGAAACTGGCCAAAGTATTAGGACTAAACAAAAATTAGATCTTCATTAGTTATCAGATAAGAACATCTTTGTTTCGTTAAAATGTAATTGTTTTGGCCCTTATTTAAGCCAAACAAGAAAAAAAATTTAAATTATCAATGACCAACTTAGCTGGCTCCCTGGAATGACATACTTTACATGATTCATATATATTTCAGCATCATTATTATTTTATAAATGCCATTTGGTGACAAAAAGACATCAGTACTAGAAATTTACAGTGTCCTAAAATAATAATAATATAATTGCTTTAATCTATTATCTAGGCACTAATATTGTTTTTCAGCATTACAAAAAAAATTTAATGATTTGAGATTGATTTGTTAGTGCTGAACTATTTCAACCAAAAACCTGACTGGATGGAGAGCACTGAAGTGCACCAGAGGGCAGACTTTGCTCTCATTTATTTGAATTAATTTTTTTCTTCAGCTTTTTATATATCTTTCTATATATAGAATGAAGCATCTCTTTACCGAAAGATGTCTTTACAGAAGACTCTCATTAAAACTCGAAAAGACTTGAAAGCATTAGGCTTCTCCTCAAGTTCAGTAATTCAGTCTGTATCCACCTGAAATGGAAAATTTTTGCTAATACGGACATTTCAGAAGCATTTATGTCTTTTCTCATTACATTACCTTCATGATGCAGCACTGCAATCATGTAATCGCTTCAAGAAGAGTGTTTAGAAGTAGTAAATGAAAGAAAAAGTACTTTCTTAGGAAATAAAAATAGGAAGAAACTAGAAAATTGAGTAATAATTTTGAGGAAGAATAATCATTCTTTTTATTCCATTAGTTGCTAGGAAAAGGTGTTGATTTTTCTGCTTATAAAAGGAAAACAAAGATTTGATCACACTTTTGATACTGACTGTGAAGTCAGGATTGTCAGTCAGGTAGACCCCCGTGGATGGGACTTTAAATTCCTAGATGAATAAAGTAAAAGAGTAACTGATTTTGACTATTGGTTAACTATCAAAGCAACTTTCATCTTCATATCAGCTCCCTTCCATAATTACCTGTCAATCATTGCTGAGCATTGGTAGATTCATGATGAAATCACATTAATACTGGATACTAGAATTAGTGATATGAATTCCTTTGCCAGAAATGAACCAGAAAGGTGAAATTAGCAGCATGATTTTTTATTATTTGTAACCTCAATATTTCTTTCCAAAGAAAACTTATTTAGTTTTCTTCTGGAACAGTCTATAAGTTATTTTTGTGTCCTTTTTTTAAAGCTTTTTATTTTTAAATCACCAGTTTGGTTTTAAAATACACTAATTTGATAAGACACTAATTTCTTCTTCAAAACAAAGATTTGAGGTACCTAACTTGATTATTCAGCCACTGGATACAAGTTATTAACTACTATCTTCTCAGTTAATTTATTGTAAAATGTATGTGGCAACTTGGTTTCAAAATTAAATGGGCCATCCAGGCACAGTGGTGCACTCCTATAATCCCAGTGGAGGCTGAGGCAGGAAAATCCCACATTTAAAGCCAGCCTCAGTAATTTAGCAAGGCCCTAAGCAATTCAGGCCTTTGATAAAGTAAAACATAAAAAGGGCTGAAGATGTGGCTCAGTGGTTAAGCCCCCTGGTTTCAATCCCAAAATTAAATGGGCCATTTAAATACATGTATGGAGTACTACTTCAAGCCCAGCACTGGGTCAGTTCCCCCTCTCCAGAGGGGGAAATTTGTCCCAATACCATGGGTCTCACTAAGTGACTAAGTCGTTATACTTCTCAAATATCTCCATTCTCCCAAATCCCTCTGTCACCCCACCTATGGACTTTGCACTATTATCAGGGCTTGGGGGAATATAGGAAAAAGTATAAACCTTGAATGTAAAGAACCTGGAGAGATTAATAGATTCTAAACAATAGCAGGGAACAACAAAGGACACTACTTCATAATGCTAATCTTAGGGGCTGATCCAAAGGAGCACAGGTGTGAAGGGATCACTGCTGGCTGGCCTGGTCAGGGTGGGCCATGGAGTAGATCATGCACCTATGCCATTTATCGAGCACTTACTATGTACCAGATACAGCACTAGGTGCTTCACATATATTCTTTCATTTAATACACCCCCAAACTCCATGCCTCAGGTAGTTTTTACTTTCCCATTTTGCAAATGAAGGAACAAATGTTTAGAATGGTTAAATAATGGACCCAGGGTCCTGGGAAGCTGAGCCAGAATTTAGTCAGCCTATTGTCTGTGTACTTTGCCAAAATGAACAGAGGAGTCTTACAATCCACGGGGGTCCCCCCTGCCCAAGGAAGAATTTTCAGTACTCCCTCCTGGAACCTGTCTGAACACCTGGCCTGCCTGCTCCTTCACTATATTTTGCAGCTCTTTGTATGAAGGGGTTGCTCCTGGAGAGCAGCATCTCTGTCACTTTGATGGCTGGATCCTCTCCATGTCCAGCCAAGTACTTTGTCCCTACTTATATTTATATCCATCAGCTATTTTATGAATGAATGAATAACTCCATTGGCTGCTCATTTCCCATCCATACCCCCTAAAATATTCTGCAGCATGGGGTGAGTAATCTCATCTCACTATTCCATTTGGATGGGATATTTAATTAGGATTTCTTTCTATGTGCATAGTAAGAAGCACATCTTAAGAAAGAGAACAGTTAAATTAAGATGGTGTTTCCTTTAGACCAAGAATCACTAGATGTGCGATTTAAGTAATATACTCCTCTTTGGGAATGAAGCAGAGAAAGGTTGGTTTCTTGAAATAATCATTGCTGTGGTCATAATCAGATCATTTATTTGGACAAGACATTCCCTGAATTGGCCCTGTCAAGTCCAAGTAGAGTAAGAAATTGCAATTTCATCAGCTTTCTAAAGTTAATGGCTGTGTTTTATAATTTGCTGAAGTTAATGGGATAAATTCCCATTGATGTTAATGGGAGTTGTGTAGCTGAATCCCTGTGTATTATTTGAAAGAAGATTTCCAAAGTACCTCACAGTCTTCCTTCCACAGGAAACACTGTGTATTTTGTTGTTGGTGGTGTTATTCATATAGAGAAATGCTATAGTGCAAAAAACCAAGCTGCCTAGATTGCTAAAATGTGTGCAAAACCAATACAAATTAACTTCATTATGGCTTATGGATATATTTTTTATTTTAAACTGCACATCAATTGGAGGCCAGAGTTCATAATGTCATCTACCTTTATACCAGTAATTAACATTGTGCCTGTTGTGTTTTAGATGTCAATGTGAATGTCATCTACATCTGCTCCCATCATATGAACGACGAGTTAGTGCTGTATTACAATAAAATTCTGAGTCTACATGCAGCTGTCAAATCAGGGAACCTTGAGGACAGAAGTGACCTGCAGGACAGGTTCAAAATTATCACCCCTGAAGCTGTAAACTTCTTCCCTGTGAGTTTGTCTTCTAATTACTACGGCTTCAGGGATGCAGTAAAATTAAATTGGAAATTTTATAACTTGCAACGCTCTGGTACACATCAGTGAAATATTATTGCAAGTTTAACAGCTTTACTGATTAGACTACTAGTTGGACTGTAGGAATAAATATCCCAGTTTAACTTTCAGATTTAGTTGAGTTGCCCCTGCCCAGTTTCTGTGTAACCGAAGCCTAATTGCATAGTTATTGGTGGCATCAAAGTAGGTGGATTTACAACATCATCCCTTTTTCTTAGTTTTGTGTGGAGGATGCCAAGGGTAGAGAAAGGCTGGGCCTGCACATGGTCACAAAGCTACATAGGGACAGAATCTTGACAGGATCCCTGTTTTCTGACCTCCACACAAGTGTCCCCACCTCAGAGGAAGTTGAACTGACTTATCATGTCACATGGTACCTAAGAAACAAGGTTCACATTTATTTTTTTAAATGCACTGATTTTTAATGAATGGAATGAATTCTGAGTGGAATCCATCCCTAGACAAGAGCCTTTGGAAGCTCATGGAACCTCAAGGGTAGGGTTGAAATCAGTTCCTCTACATTTTGATATTTAAGCTTTCCACGTTATACAACCAGTACTTCTCCACCTATTTGACTATCCAATTTTGAGGAGACTTTTTTTGTATATAAGTAAAGGCTCTAAATTTTCTGATGAAGGTAGCCCTCTCCATTTACAAAGCTAACACCCACCAGCTGCCAGAAGGATCTTCTCCAGATCTACTGAAGAGGCTGGAACTCGGAGGGGATTTGTGAGAAAGAGAGTGAGTGAACTAAGGTTTGGTGCAGTCTAATCACAAGTTTTCTCCTTTGGTCCTTAGAGCAATGTAACAGGACGGAAAGGATCACTCTCATTTTATGGCTGTGGTGACCAAGGCTCATTTTCTGGTCTAAGGTTCCTATAGGGCCAGATGTGAATCAATTCTTGCCATCCCAGAACTCTCTCATGACCTGGAATAACTACCTTGCTCCGGAATGGCCCAGTGGCCTTGAGCAAACCTTCACATCTTCAATCTTCATCCATAAGATGAAGTGATGGGTTAGCTAATTCCAAAGTCTTCTCCAACTCTCTAGTCCTGCCCCCTAAGAAATCTCCCCTTACCGTGCACTCTTCGACCTGCAATCAAGAGACAGGCAGTCAGCCTAACCCCGGCAGGGGTCTAGTCAGAGTGTACGTTGGCATCTCGGCCAGTAGAAACAAGTTCACAAGGCTTTAAGTACCTAATATTTCTTTTCATAGCTTAAATTAAAATTGTTTGAGTAATTAATCACTCATACACAATCAACTTTTTAAAATATAAAAATTAAACTCTCGATTTCAAATCCATTCCTGTGCATAGTTAGCTATAGCTTTATTTCTTTTTAATGGGTTCGAGAGATTGTATCAGTGCTGATTTTCATTCAAATGGATGGCTTTGAGGAGATTTTTTTAAAGCGTGCCAAAAATCTGTTTGTACATCTCTCCAAGTTACTATACAACGCTTGAATTGGTAATGGCAAAATGTGCTCTTATAAAAGTCATCGTGTCTATTTTGGGACATTTTAATGCCTATGAAGACATTCTAAACAACTACCTTTTTTTAGGCTAAAAAAAATCAATGGTGATCGATTAAATGGAGCCATAATGTGAGGGAATTAGAAACATTTTAGATTCTTTGTCACAGTCATGTTAATCTGCTGCCGGGATCCAATGATACTGATCTTTTCTAAATGGTCACACAAGATCTGCGGTCAGCAATGTGTCCTCTGCCGTCACTCTCTCACATTTGAATCTTTATTGAATGCAATACTGTGACAGCATCTTGCCTGAGGAATACGGCCCACAGATGACTAGCACATAGAGCTGCAGAGGATACTTGCCAAGAGAAATAAGCAAACCTAGAGGAGACAGAAACCCATCCTGGCTGGAAGTGTGCTCAGAACTTTCCATTAGGTTCGGTGGCCACATCTGCTGTCTCCTCTTCACAGCTCATCAACCCTGTAGACCTTCAGCGCTCCTCTGGAAGGCAGGGAACTGTGGCTGCTGTGGCATGTCAGCCATGCTAACTGGGTTCGAATCCTGCTCTGCCGTTGACGAGCTGTGTGACTGGACAAATCACTTGAGCCCCGATTTCCTTTTTCTCCAAAACAGGGCCTGCTGATCACGACAGGATTGTATACGGATCAAAGGAGAGAACAGACACACAGACCTTGCCCTTGTTAACTCACCAGGACTGGGCCCAAGAGACACCTCCAAGTGCCCCAAGAAGCTATCGTTGATGTTGTAACTCAAATCAGCAGCTCCCTGGACTATTTATATATTTATTTTTCCTTACATTTCCTCATTGGGATAATTTGTGGGAGAAGGAAAGTAGCAAAATAAACAGTGACCAACCAGGGGGTCAAATCCCACCAGGTGCTGTCACTAGGCATTGTCCAAGGGAGCACTGAGTTTCCTAGAACTGCACTTTCCGAATTACATTTTAAAAATGAATTTAAATTATGGTAGAAAAGGCATATTGCATAAATGGAAGGAGCCTAGAATAAAACTTCTCATCTGGAGGAAGAGTCCATAGGGTAAATCATACAGCTCTTCTCAAAGGAGTCCTGATTTTTTGCTTTTTTGTTGTTGTAAAATATATATAACACAAAATTTACCATCTAATCATCTCTAAGTATACAGTTCGGTGGCATTAAGCACCGAATTTAGATTGTTATGCAACCATCATCCACAGCAGATACTCTGTGCCCACTAAACAATGAGTGAATTACGAGAGAACCTGCTTCTGGAGCAACCTGCCACTTTTACCTCCCCACTGCTTCTACCAGCCATTTTCAACTGGCAAGTTTCATACCCATTAAACAAGCACAGAAGAGCTGTGGTTTTAGGGAGGAAGTTATTTCAGAGCTGGAAGAATGCTAGAGACTTCTAGTCCAACCCCTTACTTGAATATAGGAACTGACACTCAGGAAGGCTGAGAGTATTCTAAGTCCCTCAGTTAGTTACAAATTCAGGCAGGATTGAAATCCAGGGGATTTTCCCAGGCCAATTCTCTTTCTCCCACACTCAGAATTATTCTGTTCTCTAAGAGTTTGCAAAACAGTGCATCGGATATCCCTGGAAACAGTCACTGAGTATTTCTCCTCATTTTTATGTGGAGAAAAGTAGATAATTTTTCACTAAAATTGAAGTCAGTGCTAGTCTATAAAAGACCTTCGAATTCCCTTAAGAGTATGCCATATTTGCATATATTATCAGTATGACATTTTAATGGCTTTAATTTTAAAAAAGCGTTTTCCCAGTAAAAATAATTACTACCATTTATTGACTACCGACTCAACATCATGCATTGTACCAGGTGTCTTATATCTGTGACCTTACTTAGCCTTAGAGCAACCCCAGGTATGGGTATTTTTGCTCCCCATTTAACACCTGAAGAAATGGGCTAGCAGAGTCTAAATTCATAAAGCTCGTAAGTGAGAGAACTGGATTCAAAGACAGATCTCTTTTGACTCTAACGCCCGATGCTGCTGTGTGTGCCATGCTGCTCTTTTCTAGAAGTAACATGATCTTGGTTCTGGTAGACCCTGCTGAGTAATGTCTTTCTCATGCCCATTTCCACCTGGTGAAATCTTATCCATACTTCAGAATTGACCTCAACTCCAGCTTCTTTTATGATGGTAATACTAGCGAGCATTCACTAGGTACTTACAAGTGCTTTCCTGTTTTACCTCATTGAATCCTCACAGCATCCCTGTGAGATACCCATTTTATAGATTAGGAAACTGAAGCTCAAGGAGAATGAGTAACTTGCCTTTTCAGCTTTCTCTACCACTGTATGGCCTTTGCCTCTCTCCCCTTATACCTCTGAGGAACTCGGTAGATCCCCATGGTTTCGTTTACCTTGAATTAGTGATGTGTTAAGTATTCTTATTTGTGTCCCACTCCTTGAAAACAGAAACATGGCTGTATTAGTTCTGGCGTGTGCTGACCATATGGTTCTGTCCTCTGCCCCTATTAGGCATAGATAGAATGACTTAATTAATTGAATAAGACAGTCACATGCATTGCTGAGCTGGGTCTAACTAGTCAAAATAAAATAAAAAGAATTTGTCATTGGAAAATAAATTTGAGTTTTTCTGGAATTTTCAAATAATTTCTATTCATGAATCCTTTCCAGAACGGTTACCTAGAAACTATTGATACTCATTACAAAGGTGCATATTCTCTGAAATGGACTTTATGATAGAATTGTGGAAAGAGGGTATCAAGTGAAGCCCCTCTTTCCTACTGAAACATTTTTTTAAATTGCCAGATTAGGGGTCTGTATAGTGCAGAATATACTATGGGGCTTTTTTCTTCATTTTTTGGTATTGATTTTCTAGACACTTTAGTGTTAAACCACACCAGAAGTGTTGCAGAGATGAATCACTATTATCCAAAGGCCGCCAGCCTCTTTTCCTTCTGACAGAAGGATAATTCCACGTGGATCAAATAAATACAGATGTGTAGTAATTAGTTCTATTCCCAGTGAGCCTATTTCTAACACACTAAAGATGTGAGCGATTATGGACCCTCACCCCAACAGCTTTTATCAATTTAAACTGCTGAACAACAGGATAGGTCATAACCCACCCTGCTATTAATAATGTATTTATTATGTGCAACATTATAAATTAGGTGTATGGACTAGAGAAAGGACACCTTCTAACAGGAATAATCTGATCTTCCCCCAGAAGCATCACATGTGCTTGGCCACTCACCTGATGTACAGTCCCAAGGCAATCAAAAGAATAAAGCACCTCATCCAGGGAAGAGAGGCCTACATCGTGGGCGGGTTCCTCCACAGAGATGACTTGGCCGTGGCTGACATGTTAGATGTGCCCATCTTGGGCACAGAGCCTGAGCTCGTCCACCTTTACAGCACCAAGTCCGGAAGTAAACGGATCTTTGACAAAGCCAACGTGCCTGTCCCTCCTGGGATATACACCCTCTTTAATTTTCAACAGGTATGTGGGGTCGACCAATAAGGCTCTGTCCAAATATTTCCTAGCCTCTTGATTTTGTGCAAATTCAGGGGATCTGGAGCTAGCCCCACCCAATGAAGAATATGGAAATACTTGAGTGGGTTGGAAGGGATCTACATAGGGCCTTCAAGTTTTAAAGCATCTTCCTATTGGTCCTGTAAAAATTGCTGGGATTTCCAAAATATTTACTCAGTTGGATGAAGACATTGAAGACTCGAATTGTGTATCATTTGGGCTAATCCACCCTCAATATTTAATTCCTTTACATGGATTAGTTCATCACTGTATCACCCAGTCAGCCATGTGGTAGGACCCTACGAGACATGGGAGTCTGTTTTGGCTTACAGAAGCAAAGTTGGGAAGCTCCAGGGAGTGAACCTCCCTGCCAGGTCAAGTTGCAGAGTGCTATAGATAGCCTTGTTCCTGTAAAAAAGCTTTGGTTCCTCCAAAGGGCCCTAAAGAAAAGAGGAGAAAGATCCCACAGACGTCAAGTGAACTGGCTCTAGGAACAAAACTGCTTCCCGTTTTCCTTTGGACCAGGTCTGCAGCTCTGCACTCTTCCAACACATGGTTAGGTCCCCAAATACTTAGAGAAATACACTAGCCACTGGAAGCATTTTCTCTTTGAGTCAGCCCTGGCAGGTGTTCTCTCATTTAATTGCCATCTGTTATCATAATAAAGAAAATTTAAAAACAAAAGGCCATTAACATTCCTAACCTCTGTTTCAGTCCATCTCTTGACCATCACTCTGAGCCAGTCACAAATTATCTCTCCTACCCGCTTCTAGGAATGCTTCACAATGAGGCAGTTTATGAGGGCCAGTGTTTAGGCTTCTCCTTTCTACTGTCAGTGGCCTGCTCATGATAGTCATTGATCCCCAAATCAAGCTTTCAACAGATCATACTTTGCAGAGACTAGTTTGAAGGCACGGTGAACTTATTAAATTGCCCTATAGTGTCTCAGTCTTGCTATAATGTTTCTGGCAATGTGTGGACTCCTGAAGGAAGTGCAGTCTTGCAATGGCATAAGCAATTTTAGTGGAAGTAGGTTGCAGAGGGCCCCTGGGGCTCCCATAGTCTTTGCCTCTACTGGAATTTGAAGATAACAAGGTAGGTTGCTTGACTCTGCTTCCTGGTCAAATTTTTGACTAGTAGACTTAATACAAGCAAAATATACTTTAAAATGACACAAGGTCATGCATGCATGTCACATGAAATGATCTCCAAGGTTTTAAAACGTCTTGTAATATTTATACTGAGTCTTAGCTTCATCTTCACTGATGATGACTCAGGCAGTCTTTGCTCTAACATATTTGAGGGCTTTGTATGGTAATTGTGGTTAAAGTTGTAATCACATTTAATGCAGTAAAACCCTGAATACCATTATTCAGAAGTAAGATTAAAAACCTTTCCATAAGCACAGCAGATTTGAGGGATCTTATTCCATCTGTGGTATGTACAGATTGATCACAATAAACCAAGTTACAACTGAGTTCTACTCTGTTTGGAAAACATACATCTGAAGTCATCAAGAACTGAAGTACTCCTTTGAGATTTTTCCAGAGAGTGACTACCCCACCTAATCGATCTGAGCGTTTCAGTATTTTGAATCTGCAGATGGTAATGAATCAGTAGCACTGACTTTTTACCAATGTGCATCATAAACTTAAAGCTGGTGAAAGAAAGCTGTGATTATTTTATCTTAGGTTAATAAGTATTCCTGAGTATTAGTTGGATTTTTGCAGCAGTCATTTTTCTATTTCTGCTCTTTACTGTATAAAATGAATCATAACTAAAAAAATTATATATTTTGAACAGATAAACTCAAAAAATAACAAATATTTGGAAATAGGATAAAGTCATTCAGTTTATGATTAACTGATTATCATTGTTATTATTATTATTATTATTATTATTTGCAAATCTAGCATGTGCACAGAGAGCACTTCCTATTTTGGTCCATAAAGTAACCACGCAAGTTCCCTTTCTGGCATGTGCTTCATATGAAATATCGACAGCTTTGGTTAAATAATCAAAAATGGCAATGCTATTTTAAAGCACTGTTCAATTTTCACTTAAAGATAGCACATAATTCTTTCCAGTGGTGCAGTCTTTACAATACTATTGATTGTTTTCATTACTGTAGGGGATCCATCAAAGGACGCTCATTTATAGGATTCTTAGAAGCGACAAATAATAGGATTTGGAAGAAACAAATAATAATTCTGTTAGTAGTTGAAAGCTCCAAATATACAATATATCCAAAAATATGGGGAGAAAACACTATGCCAGAACACCTTTCCTTAGACTAGCAACAGAATTTTATCTGGCACTATGGCCATTTCCACTTTTGCCAAGCATGATCACAATACAGGAAAGTAAAACTAAATGTAGAATCTGTCCTCTCCACACATTAGAGAACAAGGGGTGTGATTTTGGAAGACACATTAGAAAAGCTTCCTAGGCTGTGTTCGTTACTGTTTGTGTAAACTTGTCATTTGAACACCCAAATCATCCAGAGACTCTACTTGATAATTAGGGAGCTAAGACAATTTCATTGCCAATCTGACTGAACATCCCATATTTGCTTGAGGTTTTAGGGACCCCCAAGTGTGACCATTTTGCTGTTTCTTCCACACTGCAGTGTCAAGTACCCTCCCCAATAGCACTTGCTGTGTAGACACAATTCAAGTGAACAGATTGTGCCTTTAAACAAAATCATTTTGATCTTACAGCTCCAGACTGCAACAGAACTTATCCATCTTGACTCCTTTCACACTCTTTAGTTTCAAATAAGGTTTCTGAAATCCATTTGGTGAGTGAAGAAAAGGCATCAAGAGAGAGAAGGGTTAAGTGCTGTGGAGAGTTCCAATGCAGGAGCCATTTCCAAGAACAAGGCCAAGCGCCCTTTTGTTGCCTTCTGGGAAGTAGAGACTGGAAAATCTAATGAGAAGATGAGACAAAAATCATTTCATAAGCTAATGAGCTGTTTATAGGACAGTACTACTTATAACTAAGAAGTCATGCTATAGACTTTTGTCTGATTCAAACACACTCCAAATGGCTTATTGACCATAAGCCGTGTTGCTTCTCTGGCTCCTCCTCTGACTTTCTCCACCTTGCCCTTCTCCCGCCCTCTGCACAAGGGGGTAGGCAGCACCATGGAGAGGGATCCAGCTTAGGGTTTGGAGTCAGAGCAGCCTGGGAGGAATCCTTGGTCTGCCACTCAGTGTTGTGTGATTGTGGGCAAGTTGTTAAATCAAGCAGCCTCTGTTCAGATGCAAAATGGAACTAACAATGATGCCATCCTCATAGGCCATTGTGAGCATTTAATGAGAAAATTCATGTGAAGAACTTTATACAGAGCCAAAGGCCTGTATAAACAGAGTTCAGTAATCTTAGGTATTATTGTTACTGTCGTCATCCTTTTGATTTTAAAGCTTGCGATTCTTTTCTATTCCTAAAACTTCTATGTATTTGAGGTCAGTTCTTGAGGGAATACTTCCAATAAAATGTGGGGTAGTGTATATTCCAGGAAGGCTCCCCTCAGTGTTTCTTCTCCTTCGTCTGTCTTGTTCTGGAATATATGTGTTCATATCATGCAGACAGTAAACTTGGCCAGCCAGACAAATGCATTTCATGTATGATAATGAGGAAAAAATTAAATGTTTTATAGGTTATGGCATTTAAAAGCTCAGCAAAGCTCCAAACAGTTAAAGTTTTCAAGACTATAACTCTTTATAGTCTTCAAACTATAAAAAAAAATCATTTGAGGAATCAATAAGTAAGCACATAATTCTCTGAAAAAGAAAGGAAACAATACCAAGATTCAATTACAGATATTTAAGGGTTTTTTTCTCTTGAGTTTCAAAGCCAAACAACATTAATACCCATGTTTTTAGCAGCACAATTTACAATAGCCACACTATGGAACAAGCCTAGGTGTCCACCAATGGATGAATGGGTAAAGAAAATGTGACGTATATACACAATGGAGTTTTATTCAGCCATAAAGAAAAATGAAATTATGTCATTAGCGGGAAAATGGATGGAACTTGAGACCCTTATGTTAAACAAAATAAGCCAGACTCAGAGGTCAAGGGTCGTGTGTTTTCTCTCATAAAGAAGCTAGACAGGAGAAAGGAAAAGAAAGGTTGGGTGTGAAGGGAGGGGTGGCCTCATGAAAATTATAGTCTTCAAACTACTGAGTAGAGGAAAAAAAGGGAAGGAAGGAGAGAAAGAAAAGGGGAAATACCGGGGAATGATACTGACCAAATTATGTTCTTATGTTATGTGCATGTATGAATACGTAACAGATCCCACCATTATATACCACTGTAATTTTTTAATACCAATTAAAAATATGGGGGTGGGGAGCCAACAAAGTGATAATTTGGGAATATCTCATCAACCAGATTTTAGACAAGTTTGGTCTAATTGGCTACGTTTTTTTTTTCATGTCATGTATACATTACTTAACATTCTTTAACCTATCTTAATAAGTAGAAGAGAAGCAAATGAACCGACTATGTGAAGAGAAGACACTTGTAGGGTGCCACCACCTGGTTAATATGGTGGGAAGAATCTCAGGAATGTGCTCTACTAATCGCTGCCCTGTCTTGGCCCCACAGATGATAGAACAGCTGAGCCAGCTGGTGACGGACCACCTGAAAATTCAACGCTGGCTCTTTAAAATGGACTCAGAGTTTGGAGGAAATGGGATGGCATTTTGTGACATTCCTTCCCATCTAAATTGCTACAAGTGGGTGTTAAAGGAGAGTAACAGATACGGCTCTGAAGACTGGAACAAGAAGTGGGCACAGGTAAGTATTCAGAGTGGCTTAAACCCTAGTGACCATGGACAGTTAGGAGTCAAGCAAAGGCTCAGAGAGGAGAGGAAAGTTCTCTCTTCTAGACTCAACTCTGTCACCCATCTACAGGCCATTCTTGTGCCTCTGTGCTTGCATAAAAAATGAAAGAGATTCATTAGGTTATTTTAAATATCCTTTATTTGGACTCTGATAGCCTTTATTCCTATTTTCAAATCAATTATGTAATTAGGAAGTGATTTTTTTCTTATCTTTTTCAGGAACATTACACATCTCACCATTTGCCCTGTGAGGGTCTTGATCGTGTGCTTCTATCAAATGTCGTTATTAAGCTAGCTGTATTTTATTAGGAGATAGAAATTCTATTAGCAAATGGTTGTCACCTGGAAGCTAATGTATAATAGCATTCTGTCATCAGTCATGTTTTTTAAAAACAATCCAAGAAAATTTATGTAATTGCTAATCCCTGCGAGATGCCAAGAAAATAATAGATCCAGTAGAAAATCTCCTGGCAAAACCTGAGTAGTAGGTAAGAGGTCTTAGGATCTGAGTGAAAATGTAAAGATTTTCCATGCACATTGGTAAGATGACCTCTTGGTGTGTTACAAAATTGTTTAATAATTAGTTTTATATGGTTTAATGTTTAAATTAAACTCACCACTCTAAAAGCTGTTCCATTTTTACCTCACAGAGATCTAGGCTTCCCTGGCTTCTCTTGATCCTACCCCTCCATTTTGGCTGCCCTACTGTTTAAAGCATCACTGATTAGGAACAGTGAGACACAGGTTCCCTTAACTGGTTCCTTCCCTCCTGGTATACCTAACAGTGGGCCGTGAAAAGTGATTTGTATCTGCTTCGAGCATCCCACTACAGAGGGACATGAATCAAGACACAAGTGACGGGAAGGGAGGGCACACTCGAGGGAACCACATTATTCTTGGGAAAGTGAAATGATAGATAAATCTGAAGAACAGTCAGGAGAGAGAGTTCCCTTTGACAAATGTGACGGTTCTCCTCATGATCTATTCTGGGCTTTCCCCCCCCCCTGTCAGGGAATGGACTAAATGCAGTACCTGTCATGGCCAGCTTTTTACATATTATTTAAAGGATACCAAAGTGAATTACTCTTCTAGAAAAAAATAAAACAAGGAAAATGTATTTAATTTTGAGGCCCATGGAGGTTTCTCTTATGTTCTCTTTGAATGGGATTTCATTTCACATTATATAGAATTTCCTTCTTAAACAAAACTGTTGAGATTAAACCTTAGAAAATTATGACTTTTATTTTTTAAAATTGAGTGTACAGGGACTGGGATTGTGACTCAGTGGCAGAGCACGCGCATAGCATGTATGAGGCACTGGGTTCGATTCTCAGCACCACAAATAAATAAATTAATTAATTAAATAAAGGTCCATTGACAATTTAAAAAAAAATTGAGTGTGCAGAGTGTTTGCTGGCCTCAGTATTTCAAAAGAAAAAATTTTAAAGAATTTCCTTGACATTATACTATGATAAATTTGAAATACTTGACTTTAAGAAATATTTACAATACTGACACTCACTGAATTGTACTTAGCAGAATCACTGTACATTATTTAATTTCAATACTTTAAAACATTTAAATTGTCACCAAATACATTTGGCAGCATTGTTAATGTTATTAAGTGTGAAAAGTGTGAAACTCTTGAATAATTACTAGTCTGTCTAAATCATTTTTTTAAACTTAAAAGGAAAAAAACAATTACTCAAAAATCTTTTTAGTTTTAGGCCAATGCTTAGCCATGATGTGGTGAGTACCCAAAAGTGAAAATAAAAATAAAGCAGTTCTAAAGATACACACACTCACACACACACACACACACACACACACACACACTCACACACACGTATTATATAATATACGAAGATAATATATATGTGTGTTGTGTATATATACATGTATATGTATATGTATGTTGTATATGTATAAATATATATAGTGTGTATACACACACACATGATTATTGACATTCTTTCACCTTCAGAGTGAAATTGCACTGAAGGTGAGGGTGAACTGCAGTTCTCCATTGAGTGTAGCCATGGAGAATTTAGGATTAGAATTCTCCTTTGTTCCAGAAGACCATTGTAATGGTGCACATTTAGACATCAAAGCATTATTTTATGAGCACAGGCATGTTTTAATGTCCTATTACAGTTTGTAGACCTGTTTCTTTTGATAATGAAGACGTTGTGTCATCAAGCCTAGCCTGGCACATACAAAACATATGCTGGCAGGTTATTAAAAATTTCAGCTTCTTGATGAAAGACTATCCTGCAGGCTAAGAGTCCAGAGAAAGACTCCATTCTGGGAGAATTATTAGAAATGAGAATATGACTGTAAGCACTAAATTATGTTAATACTTACAAATAGCATCATTTGCATAGCAGTTTATGATACAATACCATGATTTTTCTCATTGGTATGTTGTAGGCAACAGATTAAAAACAGTGCTGTTTATGGGAGTTTGGGCCGTTTTGAGATTCCCTTGCATCTTATGCAGATATTGGTTTTAGATGTAGACAGGATTCAGTGTAGACTCAAGTATCTAATATAAAGATCATCCTTATTTTTTTTTTCTACTCTAATTTTGAATTAGTTACTTGGCTGGTTGCAGTTGAGACTTGAAATAAAGTCATGGAGTCAATAGATGCTGCAACACCATTGTCACAGACAAATCAGTACAGCTATGTAGGTGATTTGGGGAAAGCAAAATGTTGCATCATGGCCACAAGGAAAAAGCCAAATCTTTTTTTTTTTTTTTTGTAACTTGGTGCTAAACCTGTTCTCTTCATCCTACTACTTAACAAAACCTACTCCCCTCACAGATTCCAATAAGCTCATTCCTCAAGTGCCCCGTGCTTGTTAAGGTTTAGTGAACCCAAACTTGTGCATATTCCAAACCCTCTGCTCACCAGTTGGGAGTGTTTGTTTTCATCTAGTAGGAAAAAAGGTTTAAGCAGAGCAGAAGCCTTCCTGGGTACGCTTACCTAAGACAGCCTAGAAAGACCTAGGTACACTTACTGTGCTACTTCTCCTTCTTGTAGCTTTTTTCTTTTCTAGTTTTTTTCCTTTTTTTTTTTAAGAGTAAATCTTCCCTCTCTCAATTCTGGGATATTGGCTTGGTGGCAGGGATCTTCTGGTGACATTGCTCTGTAAAAGATCTTATGAACAGTTCCTTTGAATAAAGAACTAAGCCAGTTTACTTCTTTACCTCAGTTCTGCCACAGAGTCTGGGATATGGACTTCATGGCTTCGCTATTTCACCACTTAACAAGAAAAAGGAAATTGAACTGGCTCTTGGATGCTGCTATTAAATATTGCTATGTCAGCCTTTTGCAAGAGCAGCTTTACCTTGACTTGTACAGTAGTTTTGGTTTACTTTGTTGGGCACTGGGTATTACTTTGGAGGTCACCAAAGAGGGGGGAATTAATTCAAGACAGCCCAAACTGAAAAAAAGGTAGAATAAGCCACAGCGGTTGTTTTGTCTTTATATAGAACTGTCAGCAAGCAATATCCACTGTTTTTGAGTAAAGAACCAATAACCCCTTATACCTTAGAACTCACTCATCTGCATTTCTGTGTGGAGACCTCCGTCCACTCAGAATGGCCTTGTAACTGAGTCAGAGGAGTCATTGTAGGTTGGCTGGGCAAGGTGACCCGTGGAATTTAGGCATTTATTGGGTGATCTCAAAGAACCATTGCCTCATAACCATGTAATCTTTAGAAAAGTTAAAAGACAAAATAACAAGATTAAAAAAATATTTAACCAAATAAGTGCACAATCACTTTCCCCAAACATAGTCTTCATTTTTGTGTACCAGATTCCAAACGTGCAGAATCTTTCATAGTAACAATAATAGAACATATGCTAATTAAACATCAGATTGTAACCATTCTCCATGTTTATACATAGTCATCACAATTAATGGCTGTATATCATTCCTTTATATAGGTGAATTCTAATATATAAAACAATTCATTTAATTGAAAATTTAGGTTATTTCTAGCATTTTTTAATATTTTGGTGGAAGAAGAAAAGTTTTGTTTGTTTTCACTCTTAGTTTTGATGTGGACCTCTTTTGCTTAAGTTGAATTGCCTCCCTAGAGACCCACAAGTAGCCTGTTTTATTATGAGGAGAACTCTTTACCACTTTCGTTATATGCTGCCATATTTCCAAGATGATGGTACAAATTTCCAAAGCAAGTAGTGAATAAGCATACTAGCATTACCACAGCCTTACCAGCACTGGATTGCCCTTTTATTTTAGATATTAAAATGTACTTTATAGTCACTATTATTTCATTACTCGCAAGGGATATTCTTTTATCATTATATTTAATAATATTTGTATTTTATATCAGAAACACAACATCTGGTGTTAATAAAATCTAGGTTTTTAGGCTTAAAAAAACCTAGAGCACCACTTTTCCTAATCATTAAGCTATAAATAAATGATTTTCATTTATTTTTTATGTTTATTTTTAGATCCTAAAAAATCTTGACTTCTAAACTATCTTTGTGTATTTGGTAGTTGCCTAACCTACCCCGGGGAGTGCGCATTATAACAGCCATGAACACTGTTCCGGTCTTGAGGTTTTTCTTTTGTTCAGTATTAATAATGAATACCTGCGCTTCCTGGGTGCCGGGCACTGTGCTGAGCACGGTACAAGAATTATTTCATTCAAACTCAGGAAGACTTTGAGGTTTTACTCATTTATTATCACACCAATTTGACAAGGAAGGGATCACCTTTTTTTCAGGGGGAGACACATGCCCAGGAAGCCAATGGCTTGCCCAGTTTCATATGGCTGACAAGTGATTGTGCCTGGCTGGGGACCCACATCTAACTCCCAGCCCAATGCTCTTGCCACACCCAGTCAAAACATTTAGAAGAGACCCTCCTGTTTGGGAGCCTCCAGAGAAGTATTCCCCATAGGATAGGTCCTTGCCT